CGCCCCTCCGGCAGGACGCGGGTCTACCCCAGCTGCTCGGAGCCCCGCCACTGCCCGCGCCCGCCGGGCGGGGCTGCCGCGCAGAGACCGGCGGAGCCCCGGAGGTGTGGCTGGGAGCCCGGTGCTGCTTTCGGAGGGCGCTCTGTCCGTGGAACAGATGGCGTGCCGTGGCGCGGGTGCCCCAGGCTGCGCCGCCACTGCAGGCCCTTGGCTGACACGAGCCTGCCCACCGGCTCCATCGTGCGTCTGCGCCTCCTACCGAGCGGCAGGCTCGGAGTAGTTCCTGCGGCTGCAAAGATGGGTTAGCCGCTGCCCTAGCGAGCGAATCCAATGGGCAGCTGTAGTGGACAGCGGTCGGAGCCGCTAATACCCCGCCTGATGTACCAGGAAAGCGTTTTGGAGGAGAGTTTTAACGGGCAAGAGTCACCAGCTGTAATTTCTGGCTGTTCCAGGCAAAGGTGATACAAATAAGGGCACCAAGCCATAAAACGTGGCAAACACAAACCAACCAATTGACAGCTTCGTATTAGTAGGTAAACTACAGGATCAAGAGGAGTCAGGGAGATGAGGTCCTCCTCATCCAAATCCAGAACGGTGCAGCATGCTCCCTTACAGACCGCGGGAATTACCTTCCAGAGACCCCCGCAATAGGTGAAAATCCACGATGTAGCCGCGTTATATTTATTATTCATACATATATTAAGGCTTTATAAACCCTTCCCACACTCGTATAAACCTTTCCCACACCCTTATAAACATTTCATATGCTTAAACACTTTCTACCCTCTTAAACCTATGAAATGTTATTAAGATGTAAAATTCCTTATGGGTACTCACCAGTGAAGTATGCTATAACTTGAATAGAGAGCTGCTGAACATATGGGCACAGTGCAGGAGAGCAAACAGAAGGATGCTACGTTCACTGAGCCAATCAGCACCCAGGATACAGAACACAGTGCTGTGGTTGGTCGCCTTCCATTCCATCAGCCCAGCAGCCTGCCGTGTACAATCTCATGTTGGCACAGTTGCCCAAGCCGTAGTGGCCTGCTGCCTTTCCACTGTGTACAGTACGGTATTTGTCCGCTGATGAAATACGTACTGTATTTTGTTTCAGTTTAATATTCTTTTAATATGTTTGAATTAACATTTTTATATTTTTATATTTTAAATTTTTTAGGCAGAAATAATTAAAATAAAAAATATATAAATGCATGTATACCACAAAAATCCCGCGATATAGGGAAAACTTCACGATACAGAATTAGATAAATATTTTTTTAAAAACCCGAGATACAGTGAAGCCACGATAAGTGAACCATGATATAGGGAGGGACGGCTTCTTCCACGTTTGGAATGATCTCAAACTGGGTAAATCCCAAAGAAATCTCCTTTTTCCCCACTCTGCCCACACACTGCAAATCTGCTCAGCCACACCTCTCCCATTTCATTCACCCAGTTGCTCAGGCCTAAAAACCTTAGCAGTGCCCTCAGCACTTTCCTCCCAGGACTGTATGTAACACATTGGTCAGGCCGGCCAGTCTGGCTTCAAAGTGTGTCCTTCCTGACCACCGCCTACCAACTTCACTACTGCCATCCAGTCCTGGACTGTTTTTCTCCTGGCTTCTGCTATAGCCTTTCATACAGGCAGACCTGCACATCAGCCAAATTGGCCTTTAAAATACAAAAAGCAAAGGTGATTATTGTACTCTGAACCCTTATTACTCTCCCCTTTCCCTCAGAGTGTACACTGTGTACAGTGGTAAGCATAGCTGCCTTCCACTGACCTCAGAATACATAGGCTGGCTTACATTCACCCATCCTTAACTGATCTGACTTTGCCTATCATGAGGACTTTGCAGCCCCCTGCTATGTTTGTGGGTTCTCAGCAGCTAAACCTGCCTCAGGACCTATTTGCTAGTTCCTACTGAGACTCTTCCAACTACAGTTATGTGGTTCTTCCAGTCAAAAAGAATAAATGAGTTAGAGAGCCAGGATCTTTTTGTTTTGTTTTATTGAGACGCGGTCTCACTATGTAGTCCAGGCTGGACATGAACTCACTATGTTTGTAGGCTGGCCTCCAACTCCCAGCAATCCTCCTGCCTCAGCCTCCTGAGTGGTGGGATTACACGCATGTACCACCTTGCCCAGCAAGAGCCAGGATCTTTTAGGATACTGTGATACAGGGTATTTTAGTAAAAAAAAAAACAAAACACTAGGGAGAGCCTGTGTGTCCCATGTTGGGTTTCCATTCACTGGTCACGTCATTGTGGTCACCACTTCTGGATTCCTAGATGCTGAGATCCTACGAGCCCAAGTACCTGAGAGTGCAGCTCAGACTGGGCAAGGAGCCCGCAGAGCAAGAACACACGGCCTGGCTCAGCTATCAGCCCACTCACTGAAGCTGTCCACAGTGCCTCTAGCTGTCCACAGAAAAGAGCAACACTGAGTGAAAATGTCCAGTAGTTATAGAGCAAGTATAACTGCATTTCAGGTAGTGTGATCGTAGATGTGGCAGTCAGGAGTTGGCACTGGTAATTTAACTGCCTGATTTTTTTTTTAAGCCTCTAGTTTTTTGGGGGATTGTGGTGCTGGGGATCAAACTCAAGATGTAAATTATAATGTCTGATGTGAGTGTCCTTTTAAGATCACAGTATTCTATCAAAATATATTTTGGGTCTGAAGTAATTAGAATATTGGGATTTCCCCTCCCCTCAATTTTATCCTAGGACAAGAGCGTTGTGTTGTCAAATATTAAAATATATTCTAAAGCAGTAAAAAAAGTTTTGGTTGTTTTTGTTGGTGTTTTAAGACAAGGCCTTGCTATGTTGTCCAGGCTGGCCTTAAACTCATGATGATAGTACTCCTCCCTCTCAACCTCCCAAGTGCTGGGATTCCAGATGTGTGCCCTTGTACCCAGCTGTCAAAAAATTTTTATGTGTGGTATTGATAGAGGAAGGTTAATGGGATGAGATAGAAGTACAGGAACAAAAGATTTTATATAATTGTATATTAATATTTCAGAGTAAAAAAATTGTAGAAGAAAATAGTTAAATGTTTTCTAAGGATATCCCCTTTACTCAAGAGTGGAAATGATAAAAACTGTTATAATTTCATCAAATAAAACATTGAAACTTTCTTCATACTAAAAAACATTATAAATGAAGTTAAAAGACCACATATATGACTACAAAAGTGTTAATATCCTGAATACATGGTAAACTCTTACAAACCAAAAAGTAGAAATTCAGTAGAAAAATTAGGTAAGGACATGGATGCCAGAGAAGAAATGCTACCTTCTCATGTATTAAATTCACAAGGGCAGCTTGTGACCTACTTCTGTTTGTGTTCTTTCCTTTGATTCCTAGCTATATCTTTATGTGTTTAAATCAGGTAGGTAGATACCCTCTCATGTCCTCCTCCCCTTCCAGTTCTCTTCATGCCTGTAACCATTATTCTTCCAAATAATCACTTTTCTCAAATTCTTTAAAATAGGGCTGGGATTTAGCTCAGCGGCACAGCGCCTGCCTGGCAAGCACAAGGTCATGAGTTCAATTCCTGGTACCGGAAGAACAAAAACAAACAAACAAAAAATTCAAATTCTGTCAAATAATCTTGGAATTTTGGTAAAAATTACATTTATAAGCCTAAAACTTTTTTGGGGGTACAACTGACATCATTACCGTATCCAACTTTTCGTTTTCAGGAGCGCAGTGTTTCTCCATCAGTGAAAGTTGAGCACCTTCAGTTAACTTTGTCATCATGTTATTCCCTGCTCCAGAAAGTCCTTAGTGGCTGACTCTCTCCTGTTCCTGTTCCCTCCCTTTTCCCACAGGGTTGCTTCTGCCTGCAGTGCCTCCCCTCCCCCTCCAAATTATGGCAGCTCAAGGTCCACAGCCTTGACAGCTGGACTGCCTATAGGGAGTACTCCCTCCTCCACCTTCTTAGTATTTATAGCAGTTCCCACTCACTTTGCAATTGTATTACTTTGTGGCATTTTTCCTGTTATTTTATTTCCTTCATTGCTACTTTATCTCCTTGTTTATTTTGTAAGCTTCTTTCAGACTCCTCTGTTCCACATTTCTAGTAGCTTCTGTGCTGTTCAATACAGTAGCCACTCCCCATATGGGGGTTTTGAGCACTTAAAATGTGGCTCTTGGTCCAGTTGAGATGACACTGTTTATTTTTGAGACAGGGTCTTGCCAAGTTGCCCAAACTGACCTTGAATTTGCAGTCTTTCTGCCTTCACCTCCCAAGTAGCTAGGATTACAGGCACATGCCACCGTGCCCTGCTGTCATGCACTTTTGAAAAATTTTCATTTTATTAGTACATGTGCACAGTACATAACGTTTACATTCCTTGTGGACAGTTGGTATGTGTACAGCATACATCTCAGTTCATTTTTCATCCCCTTTCCTTCCTCTCCCTCCCTGGGTCTACCTCTCTCTTAATCCTTTTGCTTGCGGGGGTGTCCTTGTTTTTTGTACATGTGTGTAGTGCATAATGTTTACACTCTTGGTGTGGAGCTGGGACATGTACATAACACACCCCAATTTCTTTTCTCATCCCCTGCCCCTCCCCTTCCCTGATACACATAATACTACCGGATTTCAAAGACCCAGTGAATGAGTGATTCTTATATTTATTCAGTATTGAAGGGATATGTCTTTGGATATAGTTGGTTGAATTAAAGTGTATTATTAAAATTAATCTCACCTGTTTCCTTTTTATCTTTTGAATGAGACGTGTAGAAAGTGTTCGTTGGCACCTGTGGCTCACCTTGTTGCTGGCCTTGTTTCTGTTGGAGCAGTCCTCTGTCTCATCATCTGAGCAGTTCTGACTCTTTTCCTTGGTTGCTGGGAAATGTGGGATTACTAATTAGTATCTCATTGGACAGGACCCAAATCTAGGAAACAAATGAATTATGGAAGAAACTCATCCGAATGTGAAGTACTAGCTTCAAATGCAATCTTCTCTAACTTTGTAAAAAGAAATAACTGACTTGGAGAGGAAGGGAGGAAAAGTGGGAACTTTCACCAATAAATGGCAAAATAAATTGGCTTCAAAACTAAAATATGAATATTGAAGATAGAGAACTACTATAGAGAACTAAAGGAATAAGGGGATTAACTCTAGGAGTTATAGGCATGTGCCATCACACCTGGAGAACTGTAGGAGTTCTGCAATGGACAGAAAAAAAATTTTTTTAATCTTAAATGGATGCTTGTGGCCAGATTACATAATAGCAAATTAACAGATTAGAGAATTTTGCCTCTTAACTAACCTGGGTGGGAATCTTCCCAATCTCTGGCTTTTTGCAGCTGTCCTATTTCTTTTTCTTCCTGTCTCTTCTTCCTTCAGGTGCTTTACATTCATTCTTCTAAAACAAAAAAAACTAATCGTAATATTCACATAAAAATATCAATTAAAGCACATGTAAGTTACATCGCTCATTTGCTTAATTCTCCTACAGTTAATTTTTGAATATAGCATGGCATAGAAATGTTATTTTGTTACAGATAGTTAAAGCACTATTTCTTGAATACTTCATTACTTTCTTAATGATTTAGAATGACAAAGAGCTTGCTATGAGCAAGGTAGTCTTTTTTGAGAGCCTTGCTTGTATTTATATTCCTGGTTATTTTTACCTCCTCATTATTTTTTAAAGATTTTCCTCATTTTTAGGCATTTTTAAATGAATTGTTTCTTCTTTTATTAATAAGGCCATTTTAACAAAAATAAGTTAGCACCAGGCGTGGTGGCACATACTTGTAATCCCAGCACTCAGAAGGCTGAGGCAGGAAGATTGCCATGAGTTTGAGGCCACCCTCAGCTACATAGTATGTTCAAATCCAGTTTAAACTGTGCAAATAAGTTAATTTTCTTCATGGATCTCTGATTTTGTGTGTGTGTGTGTGTGTGTGTGTGTGTGTGTGTGTGTGTGTGTGTGTGTGTGTGTGTGTGTCTGTGTGTGTCTGTGTGTCTGTGTCTTTCTGGGAGTTGCGACTCTCCTAAAAACAAGTACCCTGTCATTTACTTTAAGAACAGGAGTAGGGAAGTGTGATGGCACATGCCTATATTTGAGCACTGGAGTTCAAGGCCAGCCTGGGCTACGTGGCAAAAAAAGAAAAAAAAGATTGGAGGAGTTAGCAATTCTCTTTCTTCCATTTCTCACCAAGGATATCACTTATAGGTGTCTTTCAGGTTGCAAAAAGGATGGAAAAAAGGATTTGTGCACTCTGCCCCAAAGGCTCCGACTATAGTGTACTATACTTTGCACAATCAGAGAATATAGCTGCTCATGAAAATTGTTTGGTAAGTTACTTGAAACTACTTGAGTATTTTTAGGGTCAGACATCCCAGAAGAGATGAACAGTACTTTGGATGCAAGAAGCAAATAGTTGGCTGTGGTTTGGGCTTTTAAGTGGAGAGGTATAGTTTCTAACTTTAAATTGCCTCACATATTATTACCTTTATTGCTTTTATTTATAACTGATGAAACACAATAAAAGAAATTATGATGAAACTTCTTCAAAGATATTTTGATTAAGGATTTCTAATATAACAGAAACCTAAAGACTTTCTACCCAGATTATTATATCACACTTTACAGATTCTTTAAATCTGTGTAGATAAACATTGCTCTACATCTTTCATTTTAAATATAATATCCAATTGCATGACTATGACACTATTCAACTAGTCTCATGTGAATAGGCATTTAGGCTTTACCCATCTTCTTAATCTGACTAGCAACTTATCAAAACACTCAGAGTCTCCTTATACATTCAAGAGTATTTTTAGTCTGTGGTACATAGCTAAGAACAGAATATCTGGGGCATACAAGGGGCAATTTGTACTTCACTAAATTCATCAGATTGCTCTCCGATTTGTACCAAATTTGGCTTCTACTCTTGTTTCAGAATATAGTAAAATCTTGGTTTGCAAGCATAATTTGTTCTGGAAACATGCTTGTAATCCAAAGCGTTTCTGTATCAAAGTGAATTTACCCATAAGAAATAATAGAAACTCACCTGGTGCATTCCACAGCCCAAAAATATTCATATAAAAATGATTACAATACTTTAATATAATACAAAATAATAAGGAAAATGGAAAATGTAAAGAAAAATAAACAAATTAACCTGCACTTACTTTGGAAGCCTTTGTGGCTGGGGTAACAGAGACAAAAGAGAGGAACACAATTTTTACTATATTACTAATGGAACCACTCCTGTCTGTTGCCTCAATGAAATCTATTTCTCTCCATGCAACTTTAACAAGGAACCTATCCAAGGACATTTGCTTTTGCCTCCTTTTGAGGATTTCATGGAAATGTGACATTGCATTGTTGTTAAGCAGATTCACCACTCACACTGCTACAGCCTTACTCCAGTGATGCTTTTGTCGAAGTTTTGCAGTTTCCCACATTTTACACATCTCCCTAATTTCATTTGAAGTGAGGGGTTCCGCCACTTCTTTTTCCTCCTCTGCAGACACGAGATTCTCTGTAACATTCTGCTGTTGGGAGATGATCACCCACAATCCCCGCAGCGAAGAAGGGGGCGGTGGTGGGAGAGAGACAAGAACCATTGGCTCGGTTGTGATCCCGTGGCATTTGGCGTCGTGTGCTACTCATATTGCAAGACATTGGTCATTTATCAAGTTAAAATTTATTAGAAGTGTTTGCTCGTCTTGTGGAACACTGATGGAACAACTTACAATCCAAGGTTTAATATTTTTCTCTTCATTGTTGCCATGTTCTGAAACTTTTTCCTGTCTGACTTGTATAAAATAGTGTCTCTTTTATTTGTGTTCCCTGATTACTAGGGGCTGCATATTGATTCCTGTGCGTATGCACTATTCTAGCTTCTGCTTCTGTGAATGTGTGTCTATGGTCTGTGCTTCATCTTCATCTTTGTTTTTCTTTATATATATTTATATAAAAATAGATACTGATGCTCTATTGTACATTTTGGCTTTTAATTTTATTTATGGTATTTTTTATAAGAAGCTCATAATATAATTAAATTCGTCATTATTTTCCTTATAATATTTGTGTTCTTTTTCCACTAAGAATTTCTTTTCTTGTTAGGTATGGTGGCATATTCCTGTAATCCCAGAACTCAGGACACTAGGGCGGGAGGATTGAAAGTTCAAGGTATCTAGGCTACATAGGAAGACTGTCTCCCCCCAGAAAAGTTTTTTTCAGTATGGAGGATCTATCTTTTTTCTATAAATTTTGAAATCTTGCTTTTGTCATTTTCTACAGGAATTTTACTATTGTGTAAAGTAAAAATCTGACTTTATTGTATTTTGTATTTTCCATACCATTAACAACTTTTTCTACCATTTTTTTTGCATTTTTTACTAATACATGTTTGTAGTACATTTATATTCCTTGTGGAGAATTGGTGCATGTATATAACATAACATCTGAATCCCATTTTTATCCCCTTTTCTTTTCCTCCCTTCTCCCTCCATCTCCTCATCCCCGTCCTTTGTGTGCGTGCGTGCGTGCCTGTGTATGTTAGCGATACATAATGCTACATTCTTTGTGTGGAGTTGGTACTCATACATAATACCTCTGAATTCCTTTTTTCATCCCCATTCTCTCCCCGACCTCCATCTTTGATCCCCTCCCTTTTGAGAAAGATCTATCTCCTTACTTCCTACTATCTTTTATTTTGCACTTTATTTATACTTCGGGTTTCTCATATCAGAGAAACCTTCACTGTGGCTTTTGACAAGTCTTTTTCTCACCAATTTGTAGCAATAGTCACAATTATTTTGTGCTTACTGTATGTAAAGCAATGTTCTGGGAAGTTTATCTACATTAAATTATGAACACTATTGTGTAAAGTAGGTAGTTGCTGTTGCTGTCTGCACACTAAAGGTGAAGCAGCTGAGGCACCAAGACATTAAGCCATTTTCCCAAGATCTCACAGCTGTATGAGTATCTTCAACCACGCTTTCATGGCTGTCTGGGTGTCCTGAATCAGTTAAAAAACATTGACCTTTCATGGTTCATTTTGACGTTGGGAAAGAGTTATGCCAGATCTAGAGATTAAGGTTTTTAAGAGCCTACTTTACCTTTGGCTGGCAATCAGCAGTAGCATTCACCATATTTTTGATCATAGTAGTAGAGACACTCCTGAAAGAAAACTTCCAGAACTACTTCAGAACATGACAAGATGATGGGATAAGTGTGTTCAGAGTGAGAGGGATTAATGGCAATATATCATTTACTGTAATAAAATATTCACTATATATTTTGCTCACCTTTTGTGTCATTTGTCCTGAACCTTCAAGAGTATTTTCTACAGACAAGGACATTATCTCACATAATCATCATTCAACCATCAAAATTAGGAAATTAACTATCTGTTAATATGTGTTGAATCACTATCATGTAATCCTCAAACCACTGAGGTTTCACCTAGTGTCCTGATATTCCTAACAAAGGATTTCAGTTAGTGGGCTGCATTTAGTTTTCATGTCTCCAGCGTTTTTCTTTTAATCTGCTCTTAGTGGGTTATGTACTTAGATATTTTTATTAAGTCATTCTGAGATTACCATGATGTACAATTCTAATATATTGATATATTGTTAATGTTGATTGACTACTATTTTTAGTTAACATTATTGGTATGATTTTCATAAAACAAAATGCACCTGTTTTTAAATGTACAGTTTGGAGAGTTTTAAGAGAGGTACCATGTAACTACCATGATTGAGATACAAAACACTTCTATTGTCCCAGAAAGTTTTCTCGTGTCTTTTTGCAATCAATTCCTCCAAACCCTAAGTCTCCATTAGTTGGTCTTATTTTTCCTCAAATTTCATACAGAAGGAATTCTACAGCATGGACTCTTGTGTGTGGATTCCTATACTCTGTGGTGTTCGGGAGATTCATCCATGTTGTGTGTACATTTGGACCTTACTATCTTCAGGTTCCATGTCCATGGATACAACCAACTGCAGATTGAAAATACTCAGAAAAAAATTTTATTTGTACAGACTTTGTTCTTGTCATTATTCCTTAATACAGTGTAACAAGCACTTATATAGCATTTACATTGCATTAGGTAAAATAAGTAATCTAGAGATGATTTAAAGTATATAGAAGCGGGCTGGGGATTTAGCTCAGCGGCAAAGCGCCTGCCTGGCAAGCGCAAGGTCGTGAGTTCGGTTCCCGGTACCGGAGAAAAACCAAAAACCAAAAAAAAAAAAAAAAAAATTAAAGTATATAGAAGCATGTTTATAGGTCTTACGCAACTACTATATGTTAAATAAGGGACTTCAGCATTGGAGAGTTTTGGTATCTAAAGGGGTCCTGGAACCATTTCCCCAAGAATACTGAGGGATGGCTCTGACTGCATTTGCATCCTTTTTATTTTTTCATTGTATTTTATTATCTGGATGTCATAACTTATCATTTACCTAATGATGGACATATGTGTTAATTCTAGTTTGGGGGTATAGTGATAAATCTGTTATGAACATCTGTATGTGAGTCTTTCTGTAGGTATAGGCTTTTATTTCTTTTGGGTAAATATCTAGAGGTAGGATTGAGGGTGTTTTGTTTTTTTCTGGCAATACTGGATATTGAACCCAGGACCTTCCTACTAAGCTACATCCTCAGCCCTTTTTTTATTTTTCATTTTGAGACAAGGCCTCTCTAAGTTCCTAAGTTGCCCCAGCCTTACAGAACACTGGAACTGCAGTGTGTGTGCCACATCTGACTTTTGCCCATCTTTAACTGAATTGATTAAGTTACTGTTTTCTGTACACAAGCCTTTTGTCAGATATAGGATGTTCTACATACTTTCTCCTAGTCTCAGACTCTGTTTTCTAAGCAGTGCCTTTTCAAAAGAAAAAAAAACAATTTTAATAAAGTTCAACTTTATAGTACCTACTTTTTATAAGAAATCATTCCTATGCCAGTTGCATTTAAAAAATCATGATGCCTTTTGTTATTTGTATATATGTGTTTTATGGACCTTCAATTGAGAAAGTAAGTTGGATCCTTTTGCTTTCATGTGGCACATACAAACTTGAGCCAGCTTAAAGAGGGTTAAAATAAGGTTGCAGAGGTACTTCACGGCTCCTAAAGGCAAAGATGGATGCAGGTCCAAGAAAGAGAAGCTGCAAAGCCAGCAAGAATGTCCTTTCTCACTGGGTGTGATGGTGCAGGCCTTTAATCTCAGCACTCAGCAGAAGGATTGTTGTGAGTTCAAGGCCATTCTTGGTTACAAAGAGTGTTCAGGTGAACTGCATAGCGAAACCCTGTCTCAAAGAGACCAAAAAAACAAAAGAAACAATGTGCTTTCTCCCGTTCTTATTTTTGCTTTTCTTTCTTTTCACGCTGGCTTGCTCTGACTGCATAGCTTTAGCTGTTGTTCAGAGCCTAGTATACCTGCCTAGGATAGGGAATCAGAGTGGCCCAGCCTCAGTGTCAGGGTCCACATAGGTCCAGTTAGCCAGTGGGGGTCAGTTACAAAGTATAAAATATGCCTGAGATCAAGGTCACTTTATGGTTGGTTAATATATCCCCAGAAGAGGTCAATCCATCTTCTACTCTTGGTGTACTTTTTGGTACCATTGCCTGACTTACAGCTTTTAAGTATTACTTTGTGCATACTCTGGATTTTTTTTCCTAATTTGCAGCTGTATTCTTCAGCACTTGTGGAATGTGAGGACCAGGATCCACTTAATAGTGACAGAAATTTTGATGTGGAATCAGTAAAGAAAGAAATCCAGAGAGGAAGAAAGTTGGTAAGTAGAAATGGTTCTATTTCTCCTACAGGATGACCATACTCTGGGAGGTACATTCAAAAGAAAGTTACTTGACTGATAAACCAGGGATAGGGAAGCATCTTGGACAGCTGAAAAAAGATGGACTGTATTAGAAACTTAGATTTAAGTGAACATTCAGTATTTTAAACTACCACTTCATCGGTAAAGTACATAAGAGTCAGATTGCTTTTGGCTGTAAGTGGAAGAAACCCTAAGTCAAACTGGCTTTAACAAAAAATGCTTTGTTTCTCTTAACCAGAAGAAGCAGCAGCTTAGCGGCCTGATGATAGCATCAAGGGCCCAGGTTCTGCCCTCCGTCCCCAACAGCAGCTTGTCCCCTCATAGCCATAGGGTGGCTGCAGGCAGCAACTGAAGCATCAAGTTTTCATGGTCATAACGCTCTTTCTGCACCAGTTGCTAGGCGCGGCCATAAATGGTCATGATCTACCTTGGAGCTCAGGTGGTAAGGGGCCCCCAGGAAGGAAGGAGTGCTGAGGAGTTACCCCACTGGGTCTATTGAGTTCACAAACTCCCTCAGTAAAAGGGAGTTCACAAACTCCCTCATTCACAGCTCTGCAGGCAGGACAGCAAGTGGAAATCACAGTAAGATTAATGACCAGGAACAGGTTTCTTTAACCTTCAGAAAATGTCAGCATCAGCAGCATCTTGAGTGAGGTGTTACGTATATGCCTTGCTGTGTGTAAGCACCGTGCTGTGGGTCCATAGGTCTAATGCTGCTCATTTTGTAAGCAGAAGTTGAAAGTCCAGAGTAAAAGAAGACAGTCCAGATAGATTCTACAAATTATGCTTTCTCAGATGGTGTAGGTAGTACTGTAGTAGATCCTAAGCCAAGGCATAAAAAGGAGTGCGTAGATTCCGCCCTTGATGTTCATACTGTGTTAGCCATTGGAAAGACTGGACACGGGCAAAATTTCTGCTGACAGGGCAACGGGAAGGCCACTAGAGTCCACTTAAGAGCTTTGGACTTGGTAACATGAGTGAACAGCGAGCCCATCTACTTAGAAAGTAGCAGACAGACCTCTTTTGAAAGATCATCTTTGCTGCTCTTTGTTAACTGGATTTATGTGGGGTTAGGTGGGTAGAGTTACGAGAACCACCTTGAGATTCCAGAGATTGTCCACGTCTGAAGAACTCAGTCTGAGGACTGAGGGAAGCTGACTAGAAAAAGAATAATTAGAAGGAAGCAGAGGGTCCTGAGGGTTTTTGCCGACTTGGGGATGCGGACTTCCCTACTGGGGAAGACTTTGGCATACATTGGAAGTGTAGGATAAAAGAGAGGTGTGCAGAGTCACTGAAAGTCATCACTCCCTAACAAGTGATTATGGAAGCTTTGGTATATACGGGCAGGGACAGGACCCACACGCTCAGAGGGGAAGCAGGCCTCTGGGTGGACAGCTTGATAAGTGCGTTAAGAGGGGCAGCACCACCCTCACAAGCAGCCTCCTTCCTGCATTTGCATCTCTGCATCCCTTCCTAGTTGGGGGGGGCGGGCGGGACAGGGAAAGGAAGACTGGAAAGGATTCCAGCAAGAGAGAACGGGATATGCAAACGTGTGAAAAGCTTCAAAGAACAAGGTACACTTGTGAAACTGTAAGCATGTGCCTCCATGGTATTTATTTTCTGTACTGTTTCTTGGAATTCTAGAGAGAGTAACAATTCAGGAAGCCACTCCTTTGTGGTCAGATAATGAATCTATTCTGGGTTTTCACTGTAAGTAATGCTGCAACAAACATCTCTGTACATATATCCTGTGTGCCTGTTGGAGTGTTTCTATAGCCGTCTCCTGGAAGTAGAATTGCTGAGTCAATTAAAAATGCTGAACCATGCTGGCCATGATGGTGTACACCTGTAGTCCCAGGTACTCAGGCCGAGGCAGGAAGATTGCAAGTTTGAGTATAGGCAAGACGCCTTAGCAAGATGCTGTCTGAAAATCAAAGGGCTGGGAATGTAGCTCAGTGATAGAGCATACAGTGAATTGTGCTAACGAACTGTCCCCTGGGAAAGGTTTTACCAATTTACATCTCTGTGTATTTGACAGAAAGCACTTTTTCCAGCTCTACAGGGAATAAATATTGCTACTTTTGTTAATTTTGGCAAATGTGATAGACTTTGACCTTCTAGCATTGGTGACTTCTCCCTCATCACTAGAGGTTGAACATTGTTTCTCCTTAGGCCTCACCCCGTTCTAGCAGCTCTTTACCAATGCCTTTGCAGTCTGTGGCCCTTGACCAGAAAGGCCTTCTTTCAGCCACACTAGCCCCGCTCCCACTACACATAATTACCACTTCCTCATTTAGCTGGCCGGCAGAGCCCAACCCTGTGTAAACATGTCCATTGGTCGTCCGCATACACTCAGCAGCACCAGCACTTGAGCAGTTGAACAACTGGAGAAAAAACCACACATGTGCTTACTGACTAGATTCATGGCCCCAAAGCTCAGAAGGGCCCTCATCACTGCCTCGTACTGTGTCTTTGCTTTACCCTCCACATTTACTGTTTCACATCCTCTCATCTTTTTTAAACCTCTAACCCTGCCTCCTAGCCTCGAGCTAATGGCGGTCCTTATTTAACCCCTTCACCTGTATTCCTCACCCAGGGGTCCACAACCCTGCATCTTGAAGTAACTTTCTAAAATTTCCTAGACACACATTCCAGGTGTCTCCTACCTTTCTGGCTACTTCTTCCCAGACACCCTGGCTGCTTTCTCTTCTTCTGCCCAGCTTTGGAGATTTGGAGCCACTCAAGACTCCAAGAGATTCTTGGGCTCCTTCCTGGACCTGAGCATCCTTCCTGGTGGCTTCATCCAGTTCCCTGGCTCAAACACTATGTGTATGTCAGGGACTTGCAAATCAGTCTGTATCTTCTGCCCCGTCCCCTTGCTAGAATTCCAGGCTACCAACCTGATACATGTGCAAGGACTCCGAAACTGTCTCATGTTGAGCTCACCTATAATACAGCTCCATCCCCGTAACACTTCATCCAAACCCGCAGCTCCTTCACCCCTGCAAACAGGCACCACTCATCTGCCAGGCAAGGCAGAAATCTAATGATTCTCTTTTCCTCGTCACTCCCAGCCCAGCGTCAAGCCCATCAGTGACATTTCCTAGACATACCTTGCGTCCTCTACCCACTTTTCTCTCAGCATTACTAATCCACTAAATGAAGTTGGATTTCTCTCTCCATGGTTGTTGATGATTACTGATACCTTGTTTCTCTCCTGCCATCCTACCCAGCTCATTCTATCCCTACCCAGTTCATACAGCAGTCACAATAACCTCTTAGAAACAATCATTTTCTGTTCCCCTTGTTCTGACCTGTAAGCCCTTCATGACAGGGCCTGAGACTTCTTCTGCCCAATTAAGGCTCTAAGAACAAGAGACTGTCCTTCTTGTCCTTCTAGTAAACTTGCTAGAGGGACACTCAATCTTGTCTTAAGGATTAAGAGGCCTCCACTTACAATCTCTTTTCCCCAGCTTTGCTATACTAGGGATTAAACCAGGGCTGGATCAAATCTCCAGCCCCTGGTTTTGAGACATATCTTACTAAGTTGCTCAGGTGTGCCTCAAACTTACGACTTTCCTGCCTCAGCCTCCCAAGTAGCAGGGATTGTAGGTCTGATGCTCAGCTCATTCCCCTACTTCTTTGCATGCTTGGAGCTTTTTCTTTCCTTCTGTTCAAGGCCAGCCTGAACTATGTAGTGAGTAGTTCAGGCTGGCCTTGAACTATGTAGCCCAGGCAGCCCTTTAATCTTACAATGATCCTCATGCCTCAGCCTCCTGAGTGCTGGGATTACACGTATGTGCTCTTATGTCTGCCCTGCTTAGAGCTCTTAATGTTCAAACCTCTGCTTTTCTATCATTTCCTTTAGAGATGCACTTTACTAACCATCCAGTCTGAAGGAGGGACCCAACGATACTGTCACTTTGCCTTTTTGTTTTGTTTTGTTTTGTTTTGTTTTTTTGAGACAGGGCCTTGCTATGTAGTTCAGGCTGGTCTTGAACTTACTGTATAGCCCAGGCTGGCCTTGAATTTGCAGCAGTCCTCCTACCTTAGCCTCTTGAGTGCTGGGATTACAGGTGTGTGCCAGCACATCTGGCTATTTTGCCTAATTGTAATTTCATACAATGCATAAAGTACATTTGTGAAATGTTTTTATTTTTATTTGGGCTTTGTGGGTAGTTTTTTGCCATGCTGGACGTCAAAGCCAGAGTCTTGTGCATGCTAGACAAATGCTTTACCACTTAGTTACACCCCCAGAGAACCATGCAATGTTTTAAAATTTGTTTTTTCTTTTGGATCACTGTACATTCTCCCTACTGGAATATAATATTTGCAGCAGTCCTCAGAGAACCATGCAATGTTTTAAAATTTCATTTTGTTCACTACTGTTTTCCCTGATCCTCAACAGTCCCACATCACAGCGGCTACATACTACAGAAATACTATGTACTAGTATGAACTTCAAACAAATACTTATTAGCCATTTGTATTTCTACACGTTGCCTGTTACTGTTCTCTGTGGGTTATCTGAATGCTAACACTAATATGCTGCAAACATTTTTCTATCTTTTCCTTTTAATTTCAGATGGTATCCACCACCATGAAAATGGAAGTAAACTTTTTTAATATTGTCAGATCTGGCTTTTTCTTCTTTGCTTCTGGGCTTTCTGCCTGCCTTAGGCTCAGTATCATGCCTTTTTTTCTGAGACAGCGTCGCACCATGTAGTTCAGACTGGCCTCCAACGCGAAGCAATCCTCTTGCCTCACTCTTCCCCACGTCCAGTGCTGGGATTACAGCAGGTGCCACCACACCCACCAATGCCACGCTTCTTTCTCCTGTATTTAATTTTTTAAAAAAAGTTTATTGTTTTGCTTTAACCAGTTAGAATGTTAATCTGGGTAGAATTTATGTAGGAGTATATTTATTTTTTTCCTATACCAATAGCCAGTTGGTCTTCCCCAAATTAAATTACCATTCTTATATACTCTGATAAGGAGTTCCTCCTTTATTTTATTTCTCACATACATTTGGATTTTTAGCTATATTCTTGCTTGTACTGACCTTGGGATATTGGGATTTTTTAGAGAACTTTTTGTTTTGTTTCGTTTTTTTCCTGGTACTGGGAATCGAACTCATGACCTTGCGCTAGCCAGGCAGGCGCTGTGCCGCTGAGCTAAATCCCCAGCGCCTCACCTTGGGATATTGTATGAGCAATCTCCTGTTTGGCGAGGTGATCTCATTCTTTAGCCAGAGTATGATGGCAATTAGCCTTGAGTGTGGCTGGATTCCCCTAAACCAGCCAGGCTTCTGTGGCCACGCAGTGAATGCCTAATTATCTCTACACCACTTTCACGTGCAGGGTATCAGATAGAGAAAGTGAGGGTTCAAATAAGTTAGAAGTAAGAAACCGTATTAGCCTGGCGTGGTGGTATATGCCTGTAATTCCAGCACGAGGGACACAAAGGCAGGAGGCTCACCTTGAGTTTAAGACCAACCTGGGCTACATAGATAGTTCAGGGGCAGCCTGGAATACATAGTGAGATAAGACCCTCAAAAAAAAAAAAGGAAAGAAAAAGCTGTTTTTGCTTAATTTGTTGTTTTGTTTTTTGGCCCTACTACGTAAATTCCAAACCAACAAAGTTCCCCTTGTTTATCTCATATTATCAACAGCAACTCTGTAGGACAGTCATTGTTACCTCAGGGAGGAATTTGAGTTTTCAAGAGAGAATGACTGGCTCATAGCTCTGAGTCAGGTCAGGAGCTGCTTTTGCCTCAAGCTCAATGCTCCTGGCTTGCCTAGAGCTGGACAAGTTCACCAGCTCTGCTTTATAGATTTTTTTTTTTTAAGTACTGGGGACTGAACCCAGGGGCCTCTGCACCGAACTACATCCCCAGCCCTTTTTTTTATCAAATTTTGAAACTGGGTCTTACTAAATCCTGTCTGAGCTGGAACTCACAGTTGGCCTACCTCAGCCTCCCAGGTGCTGAGATTAGAGGCGTGCACTGCCACTCCCATTTTAGAAGTCTCATTGTTCAAAAACTATTTTCTGCTTTTAATCAGATCATTACAAAACAGTCTGTGCCAAGCAACCTAGTTGGCTGAGTTTTTGCTGAAAGTTCCAAATGAGTGGCCAAACGTAAGTAGTAACCTTTGTACTGATGGAATTTTGCTGTTGATGTCCGAGATAAAATCATAGGGCTGCTGCCTTAAATACCTTTAATGATACTCTTAAATTTTAACAAACATTATGGAAAAACAGATGCTTATTTAGAAAATCTGTTCTTCTGTAGAAATGCACACATTGTCGTAAAAAAGGAGCCACCGTGGGATGTGATTTAAAAGCCTGTGCCAAGAATTACCACTTTTTCTGTGCCAAGGAGGACAAGGCATTTCTACAGGTGGACGGAGTCCGGGGAACTTACACGTAAGGAAACAGTTCTGCAGCTACCTTTGGGGGCTGGGAAAAGAAATGGTCAGATTAAGACAAGGAAACTTTTAAAGCTAAATTTATGTAGTTTTCACATAAGAACATGGTTTGGGGGATACTCTGTCGGAACCCAACTTTACACCTCCTCTGAATATCAGAGGAAGAAAATGCAAGGTTTTGTTTTCCTTTTTAAAGATTTCCCTGCAGCTGGGCATGGTGGTGCATCCCTGAAATCCCAGCACTCGGGAGGCTGAGGCAAGAGGATTGCTGCAAGTTCAGGGCCAGCCTGAGCAACATAGCAAGACCCTGTCTCAAAAACAAACAAAAGATTTCCCTGCAACCCAGCCTTCCTCGTAGGCAGCATCGCTTGTCAAACTGGCATGAACAGCCTGACGCAATGATGGCAAACCTTTTAAAACTTCCAGGGGTAACAGCTGACTACCTGTGCTGGCCTAAAGGATAAGCAAAATAGGGACCAGTTCAAACCTGTGCTCTACGAACAGGAAGAGGTCTTTACTTACACAGCTATGGCTTTAACTGTCTTTCCCATCTTGTGTGTGGAGTAAGTGTAATTTCCACCATCATACTGATAGTCACTTGTCATTATGTTCTAAATAGGATCGGTGTTAGAAGAACCTTTTTCTTTTTTTTTCTGTTTGTTTTTTTTTTTTTAAGAACCTTTCTTAATATGATTTTTGTAAGACTTAGTATTCTTCAAATGATTTTTAAAAATTCCCTTCAGAGGCTGAGCCCCCTCCTTATAACAGGTGTATATCCTCTTAGTGATACAGGCTGTTTTATTAACTTAATAACCAGTTTATGCCAGAATATTTTAAGTGCTTTACAATGTAAATTCATTTAATTTTCACAACAGTCCAGGGTGATAGATGCTCCTATGCCCATTTATACACGAGATGACTGAGGCCCTGAGCCACTTAGTAACTGGTCCATCCATACAAAGACTGAGACACAGACTGAAACCAGGTTGGCACCTGGTAGGAGAAGCAGAAGGGCCAGCATGAACAGATTCACACAGAGGGCTGGGAGCAGGTCAGCTTTCCATGAAAGGAGCCTGGCCCCAAGTTGAGGATTGTTGGCAGTGGGGCATGGGTGGGGCGGAGGGTCATCACCGTGTTTTCTGTAGTTTTCTCTGTTGGAAGAAACCTAAGTTCTTGGCAAATGAAAGTGCCTGGCAGTTCCAGAACCTAACGCGGGACGTTAACGTTGAGGGGATGTTGCTGCGAAGGCTGCCGGGAGGAAGCTGCCCGCCCCCAGCACTGCGCCCAGCTGTCAGCCCCCCGGGACGAGGGAGACTGCAGCTGGACGGAGATGGACGAAGACGGGACCTGAGCTGCTCATTACAGTTCACTCAGTTTTCAGTTCACCTTGCTTGCCGTGCTGCTTTTCTTTGTTTTGCTTTCGGTACCGGCAATCGAACTCAGAACCTCGCGCTTGCCAGGCAGGCGCTGTGCCACTGAGCTAAATCCCCAGCCCCCGTGCTGCTTTTCTTTTTGGACTGATTAGTCCTTTGTAGAATTAGGTTCTTTGTAGAAGAAAATGTAAAATCTGGTGGAGATACCGGTTGGCTTTGCAAAGTACTTTTTCCCCAAATTAAGGCATGCAGTTTGGTGCTATTCATCGTTGAAAGTGAGATTTTTGTGCAGTCAGTTGGAAATTGGTATGTCTTAAAAGACGCAGGAAACGGGCACGGTCGCACACACCTGTAATCCCACCACTCTGGGAGGCGGAGGCACAAGGATCGCGAGTTTGAGACCAGTCGGGGCAACTTAAGTGATTTAGCAAGATCTTGTTGCAGAGTATAAAGTTACAAGAGAGTTGGGGTGGGGTGTGGAAGGCTCTGGGTTCAATCCCCAGCACCACAAAAGAAAAACACTTTGGATCTTTAAGCATCTCTATGAAGTCAAATGCCCCTAACCACTGTGTATGAACTAGTGCTGCTGAAAATACTTACTCAGCACTCCTTCACACAACATATCTTTCTCAAGCTTAGACAGCACAGAAGACATCTGACAGCCTTATCTTTAAAATACACTTTTGTTTTTGTTTTGAGAGGGGGGTCTACCTCTGTAGTCCAAGCTGGCCTTGGATTCACTGTGTACCTCTGGCTGGTCTCAATCTCAGGAGAGCAGCAATCTTCCTGTCTCATCCTCCAGTGTTCTGGAATTACAGGTGTCCATGCCTGGCTGATTTATGTAGTTATATTATTGTTTGTTTGTTTTTTTAGACAGTGTCTCATTATGTAGTTCAGGCTGACCTTGAACTCACTACTTAGCCCAAGGTGGTGTTGAACTTTGGTGATCCTCCTGCTTCAGCCTCCCATGGGATTACAGGCATGTGTACTACCCCCCCCCGCTAAAATAGATATTTAAACTATAGCAATTATAAGAAAATAAACATATTTGAAAACCGTATGTTAAAATATTTGATGATTCTTTGAAATTGATTATTTTCAGATTGTTATGCCAACAACATGCTCCAGAATCAACCATCACTCAAAGTGGTAAGTTTCTCAGATTTCATACAGCATGTTTAAAGAAAAATATTTAAATAAGACATGGAATGTCTGATTTATTAGCCTCATGGAATTAAAATACAAATTGAGTTATAATTTTACATACTTAGCAGATTATCAGTTTCTTTGTGTGTTGTGTGGTACAATTGACTAGCTTTTCCTCTTGGTGAACTAGACCTATTCTCTTGGCCATTCATTGGTATATTCCATCCTTATTATAGGACTGTCTTAGTTACTTTTCTCTCATTGCTGGGACAAAATACCTGATGCCCAAAATTAAGGAAAGAAAGGTTTATTTAGCTCATAGTTTGTGGAGGTTTCAGTCCATAATCAACTGGCTCCAAGGCAGGGTGGCACATGGTAGAGGGCAACAGTCCAAGGTAGTAGAAGACAGCAAAAGCAACATGAGCAAAAGGGGTGGGGGCGGAGCAAGCCTCTTTTCCTCCCTTGTGCTGTATGCTGGCTATTGGCCCACACCATCTCTGGGACCTCCTCTTGCACAGTCTCAGGACCTTTACAAAGTGAGGACCCTGGCTCCCTGCTGAGTCCCGTGGTTAAACTTCTCCAATTGACACAATGAACAACCTCCTACAGCAGGAAGGGTGTGTCCTTTACACCCAGGATGTAGAACTGCTGAGTTAGTTAAGCTTCAAGACTTCAAGCTGACACAATGTATCAAGTGTTACAAGGACTAAATTAAGACAAATTAAGCTTTGACTTTTGTAATTATTTCCCTTCTGTAAAAATAATAGAATTTTCTAGGGATAAAATTAGTAAAGTGCTGATGAAAACTCTTAAGAATGAGGAGCTGGGGATTTAGCTCAGTGGCACAGTACCTGCCTGGCAAGTGCAAGGTCATGAGTTTGATTCCCAGTACCGGAAAAAAATAAAATAAAAAAAAAATGTATGATATGCACTTCATTTTAGTTAAGGTAGATTGGATCTTGGATAACTGGAGTTATGGGATGTATATTTGTTCTTGAGTGGTCTCAGTGTACTTCTGGAGCAAGTGTTTTATCATCACTAAATGCAGAACATTATGAATTGGAATCCGGACCTCTTTGGAAAAAGATTTAGTTCTGTGTTACGCCATTGCATTTCCTGGTGGCACACAGCACTCTCTAAACATTATTTAAGCCATTACCCTTGGGAAATACCATTAAAAATTGCTCTAGATCAGTGCTTACTGGCAAAGAGGATGATGACAATAATGTATGTAGTTTTAAAAAGCAAATTATTGTGAACTGGAGTTGTGGCTCAGTAGTACAGCACATGGTAAACATGTGCAAAGCCCTGGGTTCAATCTTCAGTACCACCACAAAATATA